ATTATCATCAGGTTTACAGTATATTCACAGAAAACAGATTAAACACATAAGTTTAGAAGTGACACTTGGGCCACCATCTGGGCTCACAGAACCCATGGCAGACAGGACAGAACTCCAGAACCCTTACATGACTCTGACTTCAACTAAGGCAAACATGAGATTGGAAACAAACTATTGTGATTGGTTTGTCCATAGAAAATTACACAAGCTCATTATAGCATGTATACAGAATCATACTTTTTGCTGTGGAAATACACACATTAGGAACTTAATCCAAATCTGAACGAGGGAACGGGAGGATTCTCATAAATTTTAAAATCTCTTAGAAGGAACAAATCCAGGTAGAACAAGCTGAGTCTTTGGGTTACTTGGAAAAAATTATCTAGGCTAAAATCAAATTGTGGGAAATCAAGCACCACTTGGCAACAGAGTTTACCTTCATCTTAAAAAAATGTGTGGGCTTTAGACTATACTTGCCCTTCTAATAGCTGGGGGAAACAAAGAACTTTCCCCATTCTGGTTAACACCATGGGATCCTCCATTCAAAATGATTGTATGGTGGTTGGTCACTCAAAATGATTGTATGTTGGTCGGTCATCACTCACACTAAATATAGATCTGCTCTCTTCCAGTATTCATAACACCACACTCATCTGTCTCTAGCTCTTCTTTCTTACTTATACCAGGCAGGTCCCTCATTCCTACTTACTTAGGCTTAGGATAAACAGCACAGGGCTCCATTTGGATCCTTCTTCATCAGCTCACCAGTTAAAGATGAACTCCAGCACACTGCATCCAAGCAAGATTCCAGCTTCAATTTTGTTCATTGCAGGAAGCTGTTGCTAGCAGTGGTTTGAAAATGTTGAAATGCAAATTCTCATTTCAGATACAAAAAAAACCTTAGTCAAGCTTTGTTTGCCTGAAACATCAGAATGGATCACTGCCATATAAGACTCCTATTTAGAAACTGATATACAGTATAAACATAAAAAGTCTTGCCAAACAAATATGAAAGTATGATGTGGAAAACACATACTTTTTGTTTCTTTAATAAACTATCTATCCCAATGCATACTCATCTGAATAGAATACGTGATAGTGACAGGAATAGAAGGCCCTTTGACAAACAGTCATTTAATATGCCAGGTGCTTTGTAAAGGTGTATCTTCTACAGACGTCAATTCATCATTATCACCTATGCTTATAAAATGCCCTTTCCCCAAAAGTCACCCTGTTTAATAGTATAGGTTCCTGTAAGTTATATTGCACAGAATTAACCCGATCACCAGAAAGACAGTGTAGAGTAAGAATATTACAGCACAGATTTATGTCGTGCGTAGATGCGTGCAATTACCAGACTATCAAAGGATGCATTATAAATGCCACATTTCTTTTGAGTTACACAGTGGCTCTTGTCTTTTATGAGAATTATAATGCAAAAGCAGATTACTGAGAGTGTTTGGATTAATAACTTTTATCAGGGCCATCAAATGGAGTGACATATGCACCCACCTCCTTTATCCTGTATATAAAGTTGATGGAATGTGACATAGGTACTTGACAGATTCCTTGCCGATGACATGATTTTTTTCCCTCAGTTTAAAGACCTCTCTAGTACAAGTCTTGGTTCCAGAATGCTTTTTAGCCTGCTATATATTTTAATCAAGAATAAAAGGGAAGTCATTCATTTACTGTGGATGACAGCACGTTAGTATCATTCATTTAAGGTCATACCTAAAGGTATCAAAAGGCACAGTTATCCTTAGAAACCAGTTCAGAAATTATTCTGACTACTCTAAACTGACGAAAGGTGAAATCTCCTTGTTCACCATGGGGTAAAGTGGAACTTCAGACAAATATCCAAAAAAAAAAACAATTTAGTGCCGTTATGTAAAAAATAAGGCTCAGGCTCTGGTAACTGAAGGAATATGTGTTTAGGCAGCTTATAGGAAGAGGGGTGTGCAGTGAGGACCCCCAGCAATGTGATGATGTTTATCCATAGTTCACTGAGCAGAAAGGTGATATAGAAAGCTGCACAGCTGCAATAATAAAAACAAGGTGTCTCTCTCCTAGCTATGCAGTGTGAAAGGGGGTGTTAAATGGATGTTCAGTTAGTCAACATGCATGTCTTTTTCCTGCGAAATAAGGTGCTTTTCAGGAATGAACAGACTTGCTTCTAACATACAGTGAGGAACAGAAGTATTTGAACACCCTGTGATTTTGCAAGTTCTCCCACTTAGAAATCATGGAGGGGTCTGAAATTCACATTGTAGGTGCATTCCCACTCTGAGAGACAGAATTTAAATAAAAATTCAGGAAATCACATTGTATGATTTTTAAAGAATTTATTTGTCTTGCACTGCCGAACATAAGTATTTGAACACCTAAGAAACAGCAAGAATTCTGGCTCTCAAAGACCTGTTACTGTGCCTTTAAAAAGTCCACCTCTACTCCACTCATTAATCTAATTTAGTAGCACCTGTCTGAGCTCTTTAAAGACACCTGTCCACCCCACAGTCAGACGCCAACTACTACCATGGGCAAGACCAAGGAGCTGTCAAAAGACACCAGAAACAGAATTGTGGACCTCCACAAGGCTGGAAAGGGCTACGGGGCAATTGCCAAGCAGCTTGGTGAAAATAGATCAACTGTTGGAGCAATTTTTAGAAAATGGAAGAGGCTAAGATGACTGTCAGTCTCCCTCGGACTGGGGCTCCATGGAAGATCTCACCTCGTGGGGTATCACTGATGATAAGAAAGGTGAGGAATCAGCCCAGAACTACAAGGGAGGAGCGGTCAATGTCATGAAGAGAGCTGGGACCACAATTTCAAAGGTCACTGTCGGTAGAACACTACGCTGTCATGGTTTCAAATCATGCATTGCACGGAAGGTTCCCCTGCTGAAGTCATCACATGTCCAGGCCCGTCTGAAGTTTGCCAATGACCATCTGGATGATCCAGAGGAGGCATGGGAGAAAGTCATGTGGTCAGATGAGACCAAAGTAGAACTTTTTGGTCTAAACTTCACTCGTCATGTTTGGAGGAAAAAGAAGGATGAGTTGCATCCCCAAGAACACCATCCCTACTGTGAAGCATGGGGGTGGTAATATCATGCTTTGGGGGGTGCTTTTCTGTGAAGGGGACAGGACGACTGCACTGTATTAAGGAGAGGATGAATGGGGCCATTTATTGTGAGATTTTGAGCAACAACCTCCTTCCCTCAGTCAGAGCATTGAAGATGGGTCGTGGCTGGGTCTTCCAACATGACAACGACCCGAAGCACACAGCCAGGATAACCAAGGAGTAGCTCCATAAGAAGCATATCAAGGTTCTGGAGTGGCCTAGCCAGTCTCCAGACCTAAATCCAATAGAACATCTTCGGAGGGAGCTGAAACTCTGTGTTGCTCAGCGACAGCCCCGAAACCTGTCAGATCTAGAGGAGATCTGTGTGGAGGAGTGGGCCAAAATCCCTGTTGCAGTGTGTGCAAACCTGGTCAAGAACTACAGGAAACGTTTGACCTCTGTAATTGCAAACAAAGCTTCTGTACCAAATATTAACACTGATTTTCTCAGGTGTTCAAATACTTATGTTCAGCAGTGCAAGACAAATAAATTCTTTAAAAATCATACAATGTAATTTCCTGAATTTTTTTTTAAATTCTGTCTCTCAGAGTGGGAATGCACCTACAATGTGCATTTCAGACCCCTCCATGATTTCTAAGTGGGAGAACTTGAAAAATCGCAGGGTTTTCAAATACTTCTGTTCCTCACTGTATTTATTAAAATATCTCCCTTTTCCGACAAACACTAAATCAGATCTTAAAAAGTGGGATCCCTCCCTGCTGTCCTGGCTTGGACACATCAATGCAATTAAAATAGACATTCTTCCTAAGTATTTATATTTGTTCCAAACTAATTCAGATTAAGAAGTACACATGTCCTTCTTTTACCAACTGCCTCTAACTTTATCTGGAGCTCTAACAGACCTAGACTCAATTAAAATAAACATTGATCAGGAAGAAGGAGCAAGGAGGAATAGGTATGCTTGCCTTTAAACTGTACTTACTATAATGCATCCATTCTTTCTCAGATTCTGGATTGGTTCAGTTAGGAGCATAATAGACAGTGGATGCAGCTAGAAATCAAAACATTCCACATTAATTCTAAAGTATTTATCTGGGTTCTCCCATGTCTCTTAGAAAACCAGGTCATTTTGACCTGACTCGCCTTTAACATTGTTAGGTGCTACTATAGGAGCTACTGCACTTTCTCTTACTCCTCCATACCAAACGTTTTAACCCCTCTGCTCAATAATTCTGCCTTTCTAGTTGGCTTTCACCCTTCTTCTGTCTTGTGGTGAAACAGGGCTTTCTGGCCACAATTAAGACAGATTATTTATAATGATTCCTTGCTGTCTTTTGATAGACTTCAAACCCTGTATCCACACATTAAAGTCCTATGGATGGTTTACACTACGCTTATGAGTTTCTACACTTCTCTACACCTACGCTCTGGTGTCCATTAATCACTGATGAATATTTGGATGATTTGAATGTGACCTCTGTTCCCCCACATCAACATTTAAGTCATCATCTCAACTTCCAGCCTATGCAAATAAAAGGAAAACAGAATTAGGCTTATCCGTTAGGTAAATAGAATGGGACAAGGCTTTTGTACTTGCAGACAAATATCTACCAGGTAAATGTCAAGAAATTAATTTAAAAAAATTACCAAGGTGGTTCTTGATGACTTCCAGACTTAAATCAATCCACCCTTCTCACTCTTTTTGGCAGTCTGAACAAGCGACTGGCTCTTATCATCACATCTGCTGGGAATGCCATCATGATGTCTACCAAGAAAATATTGTTGATCCTAAACTGATGTTTCTTAAAATACTCCTACAATTTGTCTTCTCAGCCAGGAATCCCCTACGATTTTTGCTCCTCGATCTGTTACAAGAAGTTCCTAGACACTAGAACAGGGGTATTGAATTAAAATTCAAGGAGATCCTTTCACTAAAATATTCTTCTGGCCGAGGTCCAAATAGGGTGTTCCCATCAGTGTGCCACCTAACATTAGGTGTTGCCATCAGAGTTCAACTTTACATCAAGTATTCCCATCACATCAGGTGTGCCCATCAGAGTGCTCCTTTACATCAGTTGTCCCCATCAGAGTGCCTCTTTACATCAGGTATTCCCATCACATTGCCACCTTACATCAGGTATTCCCGTCAGAGTGGCCCCTTACACTCAAAGTACCCCTTTCTATCAAATTTCCCTATCAGAGTGCCCCTTTACATCATATTCTTCAACAGAGTGCCCCTTTCCATCACATGTGCCCATCAGAGTGTCCCTTTCCACAGTATGTGCCCATTTGTGCCCCCTTAATATAAAATGTGCCCGTCAGAGTTTCCCTTAACATAAAATATACCATCAGAGTGCCCCTTAACATAAAATGTGCTCATAAGAGATACCCTTAACATGAAATGTGCCCATCAGAGTGCCCCTTAACATAAAATAAGGGGCGTGCTGATGGGTACATTATATGTTAAGGGGCACTCTGATGGGCACATTTATATTAAGGGGCACTCTGATTAGCACATTTTATGTTAAGGGGCACTCTGATGGGCACATTTATATTAAGGGGCACTCTGATGGGCACATGTTATGTTAAGGGGCACTCTGATGGGCACATTCTATGTGCTCATCAGAGTTTCCATTAACATTCAATGTGCCCATCAGAGTGCCCCTGTAAGACTACACACTACCTTGAGGGCAGACAGGAGCTGTGTCGGGATCCTTGCTGGACACTTGTGTACAGGCAGGGACCGGGAGCCGAAGAGACAGTGAGCAGAAAGGGGCGGGGCGCACACGTGATGTCATGTTGCCGTGACAACTACCCTGCTCAGCGGCGGATCTGTCATTGCGGGCTGGCAGTCCGAGCGGCAGCACTCCTGGGGCTGTTCACAGACTGCGGTACACTATTTAGTGACCGCTGCACTAGAAGTTTCTCAGATGCCTATTTTGGTTGAGTGGGTAGATTTACTCAATGATTTAATGGACAACTTGTGGAAAATGACCACAATGCAACCAACAAATTTCACAATATATGATCAACCTGGGGATTACCAGAAATTGAAATATGTTCTCACCTGCTGCTTATGCTAATTTTCTTCCTTAAAGTGTTACTAAACCCAGGACCCTGCATTCACCATATCTGGTCTCCCACAGTACACACAACATGGAAATGCAATTATTTTAGTAAATATAAACTGCTAAATACCTTTTCTCATCAGCAGTTAGAGCAGTTTTGTGATTTCATCAGTGTTCAGCAGAGTACTGATTACAGTATGCAGGAGAAGTTTTCTTTCTGTTCTAGGAAGATGCAAAACCCATGACCTCTGTCAGGACAGTGCTGATTGGCCCTGTGCTGATCAAATGCACTCTCCCAAGAAAAAAAAAACTCTCTAGCAATACGCACCAAACTAAACATGTGCAGAGTGTGTTCACATGATATGTCATATCAGGAGATAAGAGGGGGGGCATTGGAAGAAGGGGAGGATCAGAGCGGTCAGGATCAAAGAGCCATTTTACACAATGCAGAGGATTAACTCCTTGGGTTCCGCAGTGAGTATAACAAGCATGCTTTACTGCATATACAGACTGATTTTACTCAAAGACAAAAAGGTGCGGCGCTAGAACCACAAGTAGATACAGTCTTATATATACCCACAAATCAAATATACATGATAAATAAAGTGGCAAAAGTGCAAATACACAGTAATATGCATCAAAAGTGTAACGGGTGATATTAGTGAGCAATCACTAGTGCCAAATATCTATTCAGATTCGTAGTCTTAAAATATAGATGACAAGAAAGCATAAACACTTACCATATATGATTCTAAGATGGCCTCCGGACCTCCATGTGGTCGCGGCGGAGTGACTGTGCACGGCTCTTCCTCAACGCATTTTGTGCTAAAGCTTGTATGCTCATGAATAAGTGCTTTAGCACGAAATGCGTCGTGGAGCCGTGCGCAGTGACGTCACGCCGCCACGACCACGTGGAGGTCCGGTGGCCATCTTAGAATCACATATGGTCAGTGTTTATGCTTTCTTGTCATCTATACTTTACTCAATAAGTATACTTTGGATATACTGCACTATGGGCTTCCCTCTTTTTGATTCCTTGTGAGCGGATACCAATACAGAGCCCACTTTGGAGGACGGCTTGAGGTGCTGCAGACCACCCAGGGGAAGGGGATATACATCTCTTTCTGACCAGACCAGGCTGATCTTATCCTTAAGGGGACCTCTGGCAGACAACTTTATATATATATATATATATATATATGCACATTACAGTTGCGCATCTGGTGAGTGCGCAATCTTAACATATTCACGGCACATCACCTGGACGATATATAGAGCACCTACCTGAGATCTTTTCAGATGGATCTTCACATTTAAGCACCTTTTTGAACTTTTAAGACTACGAATGTGAATAGATATCTGGCACTATGGAGTGCTTACTAATATCACCCATTACACTTTTGATGCATATTACTGTGTATTTGCACTTTTGTCACTTTATTTATCACGTATATGTGATTTGTGCATTTTATATATGGGTATATAGACTGTATCCACTTGTGGTTCTAGCGCCGCACCTTTTTTTCTTTGATCATTTTTTAGGTTTTTTAGTTTGCCTTTTCAGTGCATTGGCTGCTTGTGATTATTTAGCACTCACTTATCTTATTTCATATAGTTATAGACTGATTTTACTGTTGTGGGTTTAGTAACACTTTAAGCTTACTAAGCCCTTGGTCTCTATATTTTCAACTCTAAATTGATTTAATTCTGATACTGCGGACCTGTTATTATATATTACATAGGCATAGAATGCCACAGGGGAAGATTACCCCTACAATTAATCTCTCCTCCCACCAACATTTTGCTGTTCTAACATCTTGTGTTCCATAGTGCTTTCTTTTTTTCCTTTCTCCTATGTTTTTTGAAATAAAAATAAATAAATAAACAAAAAACACAAGATGCACATCTTCTTAATAATATTCCCAGACTATATCACTCACTTGAGTCAACCTTAGAGGTTCTCCTTTGACTTTCATGCATCTGGAAGCTATGCCAATCAATACAGCATCAATACAATACAGAATTGTATCACCACTTTACTGGATTTTTATATAGCAAGGCAGTGAAACCATAGGGGCAGATTGTTGAAAGCTCCAAACCTGTCACTAAAATTGCCAAGTGTGCTATGGCCAGCATTATTGTAATGTCAAAAGCACAGGTTTACTGCTGGTTTAATACATTTGAAAAAATACTGGTGCATGTATTGCGAATTGTGCAGCACATAAACTGGGCAATTGTGTAGCAATTTCAACTAGGTTTAGATTACAAAAATAATTAAATTGGTTAAGACAGCATACCACCATTGCTCTCCAGTATGCATCACTGGTCATTGTGGGCACCATGGCCTATTTTACTTATTAAAATTGGGCCATAGTGTGTAAACGATGAAGGCCCACCTTGTGCTCAATGGAGAGAGCTCAGTGATTGTGGGACAGCAGGCCATGTGACTTTGACAGATCATATGATGACCAGGTTCTCCTCCCAGCTTTTTTTTTGTGTGCTTTTCACTGGCTACAGAATCCTGTCATCATTTGTCTTACATCCTCCTTGGGCAAATTAAACCATGGCAGGAATTAATTTAAATGTAAATATGTTATGCAAATAATATATTTCATGAAAACCATTCAGAATTTTTCTGTCACAAGCTTTACTACCAAGGGTTAATTGATTGTAATAGAAAGACACATTTCTATTTTACATACTAGCATCAACTCATAAATCTGCATGATATTAAACGTTATTGTATCCTATGATCATTTATTGCATCAGACTGTTACATTTTGGAAATTCAGGGTGTATTTGTAAAGAAGTGAATATGTCATTCAACAAATATTCATTACAGGTGTACCTTCCTTGTGCATGTGTTTTAAATTACAGGGAATGCTTTGCAACCTGCAAAGGTTTGGTGAATGACACATTCACAGCTTAATAAAAAATGTCCTTTTAAATGGCCCATTGCTGTACAATTTTTTATTTCTTTTACATGAAAATAATAATAATTATTTATTTTTTTCTCATCAGTAATGCATCTCCAGCTGGAAGGGCTCCCTTTTTTTACTCGCCAGAAGATAGCTGTATTTTTAGGAGAAAAACCTATATGGCAAGCTTTGTGAATTCATTTTACTCTACATACACACAAAATACCTCCAAAAGAAATATAACAAAAAAATATGAAAGATGAGTTGGTGCCAAGTAAATAGATACCTAACTGGTCAACTTTGCCTGTGAAATGGTGATAAACTTCAGTACCCTACATGTTCCATAGGTGATGCTTTAAGAGCCCCTACAGGTCCTCAGTTTAGAGTTACCAAGGAGTTCTGGTGTTAGAATTATTGCTGTTACACTGGTGTGTGTGGTAATATGTAACATGTGTATCGCAATCAACGTTTCCTGCACAGGTGCCCCCAATATGTGCATTTACGCTCGTATGTGATGATTTTTTGGTGACAGGTTCTCTTTAATAAGGTACCAGTGGTCTAAAACACCCCTGATGTCTCACCTGTCCTCCAATGAATCTAGTGCAGGGCAGATCACACTGCATTACATTCTTTCCCAGCCATACAGGCTGGGGAAAGTGACAGAGCAACCCAGAAGTGATGTTTTTTTACATTTTGCTTCCAGATCAGCAAGGAAAGAAAAATGGATGGATGTCGGTTCGGCTCCCTCCCCTCTACCAGGTGGCATCTGGGGCGGCCTTTACTGGGAATGTTTGGAAGCAATTTGGCAAATGCACAGTCATTTCCATCTGACAGCTTGTCAGATATCCACACACTCAGCTGCAGCCACCGGGAGTGTTTGTAAAACCCCCAGAGACAAACCTGGCAGTAAAAGGGTTAAAAAGAATAAATAATGTATGATAATTAAAATACTGCATACATTCTGACTTTGTGAATAAATGCACTTTTGTGTTATTGTAAGTCTTCAGATTAGACTGCTTTTAAAATGTGTTTTAAGGTGAACTCTGAGCACAAAAACTTTAATTTAAATGCATTCATCAAAAGATACGAAGGATATAAATCCACTCTGCGTGCACCAAATTCCATTGTAAAACTAGTTATTGCCTTGTAAAAGCAGTTGTGACATCATCACTGTGCTGCACATAGCCTTTGCAGAGAGCAAAGCTGTGGGAGGGGCCCAGCAGTATCACCCACTATGGATTGCCTGTAGAAAACTACAGGAGGGGGTGGAGACAAGACCAGTCACCCTAAACAAGGAGAGAGAGCAGCAGTGACCGGTCTTTGTTACAGGAAGCTCCTCTAAAGTTTCACGCA